TCATCAGCAGCATCGTCATCAGCATCAGCAGCACCATCATCATCATCAGCATCATCACCAGCATCAGCATCATCATCATCATCAGCATCATCATCATGTTTCGTTTCCTCCTCCTTCTCCTCCTCATCTGTCAAGCCCGGGGTGGAGATGGCTGCAGGCCATATCACATGTGGTTCAGGCGCCCCGTAAGCCATATCATTTCAAGTCCTCCCCCTCCTCTTCCTCATCCTCCTCCTCGTCCTCCTCCACCTTCCCCTCCGCCTCGTCCTCACACTCCCGTCCTCCCCCTCCTCCTCCTCCTCCTCCCCCCCAATCCTCCTCCTCTTCCTCCGTTTCCTCTTCCTCCTCTTCCTCCCCCTCCTCCTCCGCCTCATCCTCCTGCTCCTCCTCCTGTCCTCCTCCTCCCCTCCTCCTCTCCTCCTCCTCTGTTTTCCTCCTCCTCCTCTTCCTCCTCCTCCGCCTCCTCCTCCTTCGTCATCCCTCTCCTCCTCCTCCTCCTCCTGTTCCTCCTCCTCATCCTCCTCCTCCTCCTCCTCCTCCTCCTCCATTCCTTTTCCTTATACATAACTTCTCCATGTCGCATTCCGAGGCAACTGTTTTAGTCGGGCTGGGCGTTTCGCCTGAGACGTCCTCACCATTTATAGCTCTGAAGCTTCGAAGTTGGCAGCAGCTTCACGGATTGAGGGCGGGTGGTTTTCAAAATGAAGGCTCTCGCTGTAGCGCCGCGCACATTCGATTTAAAGATTTGCGAGAGTTTTACGGATTGAGGGCGAGTGGTTTTCAAAATGTGGTTCTCGTTGTAGCGCCGCGCACATTCGATTTAAAAATTTGCAAAAGCTTCACGGATTGAGGGCGAGTGGTTTTGAAAATGTGGCTCTCGCATGAGCGCCGCGCACACTCGATTCAAACATTTGCCAGTTTTTCACGGACTGAGGGCTGTTCCTTTTCAAAACGTGGTTCTCGCCTCAGCGCCGCGCACATTCGCTTTAAAAAGTTGCAAGAGTTTCACAGGGTCCCATCATCAACGTACCAGACATGGTGCTTCGTAAGGATTCCAACTTACGCGGGTGCAACAGTTACGTTGGTTCGCTGCGTTGGAGTCCTATGAAGAGCGTTTTGGCACGATTCCGGATCGCCAAGAGGCAACAGTCAGGTTGATAAGTGGTGTTGGAATCCCGGGAACCGTGTTTGAGCATGTTTCATGGTCTTCAAACGGGTGTCTTCCAACGAACAGTTACATCAATGGAAATGAACAGTTGTAGGGGCCTATGAAGAGGGAGCTTGGAGGGAGGGTTTACTCCAACATCGTTGATGGCCCTTGGGGTTACACTGGTCCTCCTCCTCCTCCTCCTCCTCCTCCTCCTCCTCCTCCTCATCCTCCTCCACCTCCCCCTCCTCCTCCTCATCCTCCTCCTCCCTCCTGCGCACAACCTGAGGCGCCACAGATTCTATGACGCCTCAGCCGTCGGTCGGCGTGGCTGAGGGCGCACCTTACAACCGCCCTCAGCCACGCACATCGGACAGGGCCCGCGGAGGGCCACGCAGCTGCCAGGGCCTCCAGGCAGCAACGACTGCGCGCGGCCAGACCGCCAACGCGCACGGGGAGGGCTGTGCATGGCCATAAGAAAAATTTGGGCACAGCAGCAGCCCGTCAAACGTGAAAGAAAAAGGAGGAGAGAGAGGGCAGGCTGAGGGCCACGGGGCGATCACCCTTACTGGGAGGATCCCCTATGGCCAACGGCGTGCCCCCCCACACCCGACCCCACGGTGGGGTCAGGCTGTTCTGAACCAAAATTATCGAGAGCATCATGCAAAACGTGGGGAGGAGGGCGGCCGCTAGCTACAGCCAGCAGCCGCTGAACAATGGCGGCGCGCTCTGCATCCGCGCGCTGCACGCGCGGCTTGCGCGCAGGCGCAGCATCTCCCGACCAAACTCCTCCGCCCCCGCTCGACGACGTCGACAGGACAACACTTCCATCCTCCACAAGAGCTTCGGCACCGCCAGCAGATCGCTGTGGTGCCTCCGAACTGTCATCGACCGCCACCAGCTGGGAGGCGGGGAGTGGGTCGGCGACGGCGGCCTCTACCAACGGCGCCTGCGCCTTGACACGAAACACCTTCGCACCAAGGCGAAACTCGCCTTTGCCGAGCCGCTTGGGCACCTTCATGGCATGATCGGTGGCCACAGGCGGGCAAGGCTGGCTGAGCGCTGCGACGCGCACAGCTGCGAAGTTGCCACAGCGCGCACAGCCCACGATCGTGGGACCTTCGCAAAGGGCAATCCGTACAAGTTCATGCTTACGCGCTCCATCCTCTAGCTTACTCTGCGCCGCCAGCGCGCGAGAGGCCACGTCGGATGGGGCGGGCTCACGCACAACAAAAAGCCTTGGAAGACGCGGCTTGCCCCGTTTATGCCGCTTGGGGTGGCCACAATCTTCGAGCCCCTCGCTGAGTCGGCCGATCCAGCCTCCCCAGGTCTTGACAACTTTGGAGCGGGCCTGCAGTTGCGCGCGGTCTTGACGCGGCGCCCTCGCATACGCAGCGGCACTCTTAGCAGCACGGTCGGCCATCATATTGCCAAACCTGTGGCGCTCCGTGGCGCGCCCATGCTGGATGTCACTTGCGGCCGCATGGCTTTTGACCTTCGAGAGCTCAAACCCGTCCCCCCAGTCATCCACCAACCGCCAACATTCCCTCCAGAGGTGAGCATGCGCAGCGATAAAGGCGGTGGTGGACACACGCCCACGTTCGTGGAAACCATCCACAACAAAAGCAGAGTCCGAGAGCACACGCACTGGCGGCGCTGCAACGCGCAGCACATGGATGACAGCGATGAACTCAGCAGCACTGATACACTGCAACGGGTCGAGCACAGGGCCAGAGCAAAACGAGACACCCTGAAGGCGGTCGGGATGAAGCGCCACGCACCCCCAGCCCGCACTCGCGAGGCTGGGATGCTCAGCTTCAAATACCGACCCATCAGGGTAGATGTCACCCGTGAAACTGTCAGGTCCTCCGAGCCCCCAGCGCACTGGTTGCCCAGGTGGCGGCATCGCAATTGCGGGAAAAGGGGCCAGGCAGCGTTCAGCAAATGCGAGGGCTAGCGGCGAGTGCGCTGCTCGCGCTACATTGGCACGAAACGCCGGGGCGCCCTCGAGGCTGTCGAGGCGCGCACAAGAGCAGTGCCTGCGCAGCAGCGCACCTTCGGCCTGCGGGCAGAGCAAGCAGGCAGGCGTGGTGCCATACCCCTCGGCCCACTGACGCTTCTGGGGCCACTGCCCCCAAACCACAGTGCTACGCAAGTGGCCCCTCTGCTGGGCCGTGAGCTTACTCTTGGTGCTGGGGAGGGCCTCGAGGGGGCTAAGGATGACACCGTTGCCAAACTCGGGGGGGGCCCAAGTGGTCGGCAACCTTGGCGAACTGCCGACACTCAACGGCACGGTACACGAGCTCCTGGAAGGTGACGGGGCAGAAGTCCGAGGGATTGACGACAGCCCCGTCGGGCCAAGTCCAGGAGGTAGCCGAAGTAGCCGTGATCCCCACGCGTTTGAGGGTGGCCCACAACGCATTGAAAGGCCCCGGAATGGAAGACCACGGGTGCTCCAGATGCACCAGTCTCTCATGGGCCTCACGGGGGCCAAAGTCCAGGGCGCCCCTAGGAAGCCAGGAGTGCCACAGAGCGAAGAGGAAGGCCTTCACGGGCAACCACGTGGCCCTGAAAACGGGGCCCAAACGGGGCACAGGGGCCAGCAACAGGGCCAGGGTGCGGGATTTGCCATCCATGCGATGGTCTTGAAGCCTGCCAGCAGCACTTCTAAGCACCTCCAACTCCTGCCCATTAGTGCCGACCACGGCAGACCCATACAGCACGGACGACTCCAGAGCACTTCGAGCCACGCGCCCAAGCACGCGGCGACGAGGCTTAGAGCCCCTGAGGATGGACATGCGCTGCCGTCTCTTGCACATGGCCTTGACACGGGAGGTGGGCGCGGCCTTGCCCCCTCCAGCGAGCCCAGAGGAGAAATCGACACCGAGGTTCCTCTCAGCTCTCACGGGCAGGGGTTGAAGGCTACGGAGCTTCGAAGCGATCGAGGCTCTAACCACAGGCGCGTTCCCAAGCACTCGGGAGTTGTCGACGGCGATCCTAAGGTCGGCGGCCTTGAGCTCACTGTGGAGCCCCCTACCAGCACCGACGATGTCATGTACAACTCTCGACTCCGCGCCCCACCTCATGAGGCCGAAGTCGTCAACATTGACCGACAGCTGGACCGTCGGGAAGGACGCCTGGACGGCGTCGAGGGGACCTAGCAGCACCAACTGAAGCATACAAGTGGCAAAAGTACAGCCTGGTACAACAGTCTGCTCAACCTCAAGCAGCGAACCAACCTCGCCAGCCACATCGAGCAGCCTCGGGGCACGATAGATCTGCACCAGGAGGTACAATTGCCACATAGGAAAACCGGTGGCCTGCGCGGCCGAGATGAGATGACGGTGCTGCACCAGCTCGAACGCCTTCTTTAAATCCAAAAGCAACGTCGCACAACTACGATTTTTGAACGTCGAGTGTTCGGACCACGCCGCCTGAATCCACACACAACGCTCCGAGGACTTCCCGTGGGTGCCCCAAAAGAACTCACGGTAGTTTCTCTCTTGCCACTGCCTGATGAGAGGACGTCTCAGGCGACGTTGAACGCGAGCCAACACGCGGAGCAGCCCCAAAGGCCTGAGCCCCCCCACCCGCTTGAGGATAAACACAATGCGGTTCCACATGACAGGCCACTCACGCTTGTGCTCAATGTGAGAGATGATCTCGCACAAGGCTTCCAGCGCGGCGTGCGGCAGCAGCAGCAGGGAGCGGGGCGACACTTGATCGAAACCAGTGCCAGTAGAACACTTAAAGCTTTTAAGAGCCCGCACGAGCTCGTCAACACTGGGTCTATCAGGCGGCACTCCAAGCTCAGGCCACTCGAGGGGGGGTTTCGCTTGTCCCACGGACCACCACTTTTTCCACTCAGCCTCGAGGGCCTCGACCGACTCAACCGACGAACAGGGGCGGAGGGTGGAATGGTCGAGGGCATCGGGTTGCCAGCCGATGGGAAGGGAGGAAAACTTGAACAGGGCCGACATCCCCCCCGAGGAATGCTTGTCAACCCATTTGCTCCACTCCCTGTCCATGTCGTGCGCCGACTGAGCCTGGAGCCTCTTGGCTTCGACGTCCGCCAGCTCTGCCAGCGCCTTGGCCGAGAGCAGCGGCAGCATATCAGCCTGACGCAACACAGCCGCCCAGGCGGCGTACATGGCACTGCTAGGGAGGCGGTGAAAACCTGAAAGCCGATGGGCAGCCGAAACGAGCTGCCGCCTGTGAGTGCCCACAGGATCTCGGGCAAGGTCAGACAGGAGGACACTGACCTTGCGCCACCAACACGCCAACGGGGAGAGCTTGGGAAATCTCGGAGGCCCAGGGCAAGATGGCTTCTTAGAGGAGATCTTCAGAGGGAGGCCACGACCGACGTACCCGTCAGCAAGCTCTCCCGAAATCTGAAAGACATAAAGCCACTCGTCCTCCGCCGCCCGAAGGAAGCTGCTCCATTTGTCCTGCACAGAAACGTTAGGATCAGAACAAAACGCGGCCACGGGCCCCCACCTACCCTCGACGGGGGGGGGGGGGGGGCCAGACAACCAATGGGGCGCTCCAGAGGGAACCGCTTGGGCAACTTAACATACTTGACCTCAACAACGGGCTCAATGCGTGGGAGAACGAGCCTGACAGGGTAGTGGGGGGAAATGGGGACATCTTGAACTAGTTCGGCCCTGGCCGCACCTGCAATGACCCTCGAGACGACGAAAAAGTCGATGCACCTCATGGTTGGGCGGCACGTGCCGCCATCAGGGGCGACGATGACTGCGCCCATGGCATCGACCCACCCAGTCTGCTGCAGATCAGCGTGATGTATATTCCAAACTCCACCGATCACGAACGCCATGCCAGCAGCCTTGAGGGACCTGCCAACGCGGCACAGGATGTTCCAGTTAACCTCATTCACCCCGACGGAGTGCACCAGATAGAGATTCACAACCAGGAAACCTCCTCGAAGCATCCCTCTCACATGGTGAATACTGGCACGCGCAGGCTGCAGCACAGGCGAAATACTCTCGAGCACACCTAGACCAATCCTCCTGGGCGTGGCCGTAATCAGACCGCCAGTGGGATTGCCAAGCGTGGGCAGCGCGGCCGTGAGAGAGGCTGACCAGCCGATCTGGCGGAGGCGCGCCTCAGTCGGCTCCACCGACGAAGCTGGGATCCTGGTCTCCTGCACGAGGAGAACGTCACTTGCAATGCACTCACACAAGTACGCGTCGAGCCCTAGCTGGCCCCCAACATTGGCGGTGATCATGGTCCATTCCTTGGCCTGACCAGCGCTAGGACATGGGCGGGGACCTGCTGGGCACGTCATCCCCCTCACTGAAGGGAGTGAGCCGAAACTTCTTCTGCGCTGCAGCATTGATGCCTCCAAGAATGTTCTCCGCATGCTTGCGCGGAATCTTATGCTGGGCAAGGAAGGCATTAAACCCTTGCTCAGCGGAAAGCTTCTTAAGGAAACCTGAGAGCACACGAGCAGCTGGCGGCGGGCCAGCACTGGCCGCAGCGGCCCCCGACCCATCCCGCCCCCGTCCCACGTCCGAGCCCGTCCCCCCTCCACAGAGCGGGGCGGCAGGCGCGGCACCTGGCGCAAACGGGGAGTCAGGTGAAGGTCGGCCGAAGACTGCCAGCGCGGCAGCCTCCACATCACGAACGTCGGCTGGAGCAGGTTCAGCACGTGCTTCTCCAGGCGGGGCGTCCTCCATGGCGTTGCCGTCGCCACTGAGGTCGTCCAGTTCGTCAGACTCGTAGCCGTCGTCGGTGGCAGCCTCATCATCAGGGTGAGCAGGAACCAGAAGCGTGTCACGCGTCTCCAACAATGACCGTAGCGAGCGAGCCAAGCCCGCGTCCAAAGACTGGAACTGCATGAGCAGGGCGAACGCAGGGTCGTCGGCCGACAGCGCGGTGCCCGAGGCGTCGACCGCTCCAGCACCCCCAGCAGCACATTGCGCCCAAGCCGCTGAGGCCTTGGCGGAGGCGACTCGCTCCTGACTTTCGAGCGACGCGAGGTTGTCCTTGAGCTTGACGAGCTCCAGGACCTTGCTCTGCACGACGGACTCGACTTTCTCGATCTGCTTGGAGACGTGGGCGATCTGATTCTTGAGATCGCCCAGCAGAGCCTGCGCATGCCGCTGAACTGCACGAGGGTCACCAGCAGCCAGGGCGCGCTGCGCCACGACTCGAGCACGCTGGGAGGGCGAGAGGAGCCCCTTGCACACCTCGAAATCGTCGTTGGACATGCGCACAATCTTGTCAAGCTGCGCGGGCTCAAGTAGCTTGTGCTTGGGCCGAGCAGCGGCTGAACGAGGCGGCCCGTCAGCCCAGGCGCCCTGCGGCCCACGTTGTTGCTGCACAGGAGCAGGCGCAGCAGGGCGTGCAGCACCACACTTGTAGCAAAACTGCTTCCACGAGAAATTCGTTTTGAAACCGCACTTCTTCTTGGGACAACACCACACCTCATTGCGAGCACCGGCAACGCGCTCGCCCATGAATGTGACTCTGGATATGAAAGAATCTGCAAGGCTTGGGCAAGCACAAGCAGGGGATCGCACAATCACTAGCTCACTGTAAGCCACCTCGAGAAATGGTTTACTTGAGCCAAAATGGCTACGGATCTCCTCCTCCTCCCTCCTCCTCCTCGTCCTCCTCCTTCTCCCTCTCCCTCTCATTCCCTCTCCTTCTCCTCCTCCTCCTCCCCCTCCTCCTGCTCCTCCTGCTCCTCCTCCTCATCATCATCATCATCTTCTCCACCTCCTCCTCCATCCTTCTTCTTCCTTCCTTACTATTCCTTCCTAATTCCTCCTTCCTCATGTTTCCTTCCTCTTTCCTCCTTCCTCCATCCTTTTTCCTCCTTCTTCCTTCCTCCTGCTCCTCCTCCTCCTCCTCCTCCTCTTCCTCCTCCTCCTCCTCCTCCTCCCCCTCATTCGCACACTCTCGTCTCCTCCTCCCTCCTCCTCCTCCTTCTCCTCCTCCTCCTCCTCCTCCTCCTCCTCCTGCTCCTCCTCCGCCTCTTCCTCCTCGTCCTCGTCCTCCTCCTCCTCTTCCTCCTCCTCCTGCTCCATCCCCTGGTTCTCACACTCTCCTCCTCCTACTCCTCCTCCTCCTCCTCCTCCTCCTCCTCCTCCTCATTCCTCCTCCTCGTGCTCGTGCTCGTCAGCGTCCTCCTCCTGCCCCTTCTCATTAGTTCCCTCCTCCTCCTCTTCCATTCCTTCTCCTTATAGATGAATAACTTCTCCCTGCTGCACCACGAGGCCAGTTTTTAGGGGCGGGCTGGGCGTAGACGTCATCACCAATTATGATTCTGACGCTTTCAAAAGTGGCAACAGCTTTACATATGGAGGGCGGATCGTTTTCAAAATGCGGCTCTCGCCTTCGCGCCGCGCACATTCGCTCTCAAACATTGCAAGAGTTTCACGGATTGAGGGCGGGTGGTTTTCGACATGTGGCTCTCGCCTTCGCGCCGCTCACATTCGTTTAAAATGTACCAGAGATTCACAGATTGAGGGCGGGTGGTTTTCAAGATGTGGCTTTCGCTTTAGCGCCGCGCACATTCGGTTTAAAAAATTGCAAGAGCTTCACGGATTGAGGGCGGTTCCTTTTCAAAATGTGGTTCTCGCTGTAGCGCCGCGCATATTCGTTTTTTGAAGTTTGCAAGAGCTTCATGGATTGAGGGCGGTTCCTTTTCAGAATGTGGTTCTCGCCTTAGCGCCGTGCACATTCGATTGTAAAATTTGCAAGGGCTTCACGAATTGAGGGCGGTTCCTTTTCAAACTATGGCTCTCGCCTCTCGATTCAAACAATTGCAAGAGGTTCACGGACTCCCATGATCAACATATCAGAAACGGCGCTTTGGAAGGATTCAGGATTATGCGGGCGCAGCAGTTATTTGGATTCGCGGTGTCGAAGTCCCAATAATGACGTTCTGGCACGATTCCGGATCGTCAGACAAGGCAGTCAGGTTGATACGTGGCGTCGAAATCCCGAGAGTTTGGTACGGTTCAGGATCTTCAAACGGTTGTCTTCCAACGAGGCAGTTCCCTCAATGGAAATAAACCGTTGTAGGGGCCTACGAACAGAGAGCTTGGAGGGAGGGTTCATCCCAACATCGTTGATGACTTTTAGGTTTACTCTGGTCCTCCTCCTC